ATACTTTTCATTTCAAAACAGAAAGAAATATGTCACCCAGCACCCTTTGTCTTTGTATCTGTTATCACCAGACAGTATCATTTGAAGCACCAATGCTTTTTCTTAGTGTACGTAGAAAGAAATCGTTATCATATCTAAGACACAGTAGTGTGACAGTGGTATCCAACTGCTGATGCTTTAAGTGGAAAACGTCACTTATTCCTATTAGGAAGATAATGATAGAGCTTCTCTTTTTTATTGACAGAAGTGGAGAATAATTCAACCATTCCTTAGCCTTTTTTTTTTTTTTAATATATAAATTAGGTAGTCCTAAATCCATTTTTTTGCCTTGTCTCCTGAGTCTCAGTCTAGAAGGCAACCACGGGCCCCCACACTTAGATGGAAATAAGGCACTGAAGACGTTAAGCTTAACGTTAAGTTAAACACAGTGAGTTTAGCACATTGCTGGCAGGTCAGAGGTTTTTTGTATACACTGAACCAATGGCTAATTTGTATGTGTCCAACATACATTCTGGGCATGTTAGACGTTGCACAGCTTCAAAAAGATATGATATCTATACTCAAGGAAACCATTTCTTTCTAGGGGTGATTCCATTTCAGCTGCAGCAGCAGGAAACAGGAGGTAGCCCAGATACTCTTGCTGCATAACCTCTATCTTCTCAAAACAGACCAGTTCCCACCAGAGTAACTGGTGTTCCAAAGAACCATTAAAACCTGAATTACAGCTATCCAGATTCTTAACATACTGCAGGGAATACCTAAACGAATAAATAAATAAATATTGTAAAGACCTCCCTTATGATGTGTTACTAAACTATGCAATCCAAACATAAAAATTCATTTTAGAGCTATAAAAAAAACCATAAAAAACCCACTTGCCATTGTTTTTTTGTGCTCTGGTCAGGCAAACGTCAAATAAAGCGCAAAGGTAACCAGCCCTGCCTTAAGCACTGGTCAGAGCCCTGTGCACCAGTGCCACACGGCAGAGTCCCAAATGAACAGCTGCACAAACCCATGCCCCATTTCACTTTCAGATTTAGGCTGCATCTGTTCCTGCTTATCTTGCTGGTTTTCACTTTGAAGAAGAAAAGTGAAAGTCTAACATCAGTCCACCTCAACTGAAAACTGATTAAAAAGCATGAGCTATTGTTTTCTCACAGAACTGCAACATAAACGTCCTGCTGATGGTTTTATGTATGTCCATTTCAATGATGCTTTTATAACAGTTAAAAAATTTTATGCTGTATTTCATAGGGATAAGGTTGTATCTTACTGGTCGTACGGAAAAAGCTCAATGCATAATTGGGGATTATAAAAAAAGTTTTCTTAGGAAAAAAAATAGGATTTGGGCAGAAATCTCCAAATAGTACATATCTTTTACTAATTTCAACCTTGAATTTAGACATGTCACTTTTAGAATGTTCAGCATAAGTTATGAAGATTTTTCTATAGAAAAGGTAAGAGATATTATCAAAGCAGCCCATGTCCATTCTCTTGTCTCACATTCTTGTAGCAGTCACGCTATAATTATCAACCTCAAGTGAAGAAGTCAGTCCACAAACACATTTTTCACAGAGAAGTAAAACCAGAAAGCAGGCATGAGAAGAGCTCTTAACTTTTTCATAATGTGGTCACTTGGGAAAAGATCAGGGAGATACTGACAGGGGAAAAAGAAGTAAAAATGCATGATAATTTTAAAAGTTTGATGTGACAGGTTAAACTCAGTAAATGAAAATTATTGCAATGTGACAATGGAACTGCAACACAAGATGTAATAATATGACGCAATCTTACTCGCTAAACTTTGCAAGAAAGCTCCAAAATCAAGGCTCTACAGACTCTCCCATCAATACAGCAGTCAAATATGACAAACCGTTTACTCAGCTACACAGCTGTAAAGTAACTAATTCAGTGACTTCACTGTACTCTCAGCAACTGAATTTATAATGCCTCAAACGAGAGGCAGGGGGGAAGCAGCAGAGCAAAACCAATCCTTTTACAACACTAATTATTTTCCAAAAGTGAGGACCCAGAAAGCCTCTTTCTTAAGGGGGAAAAAAAAAAAAAAAAAAAAAGGGATAACTATTGTATTGTTTTTACATTTTTTTAGCACCAAAGCACTTATTCTCTCACTGCGCTCCTCACCAAGTCACTTCAATACAGTGACCAATAGTGTTTAGTAGGATTAAGAAATTCTGACAAATTTCAAGAAACTGATTCCACAGTGACTTTGCTTCCACTTCATCACAAGAGTAAAAAAAGGTGGGTTGTTTATGTGGGAGGACATAACAGTGGTAAAGGGGCATCACCAGGGAAGGGAAAAAAGGATATGCCTGGTAAAGCAAATGATTTAACAAGGGTTGTTCAAAGATAGCTGTCAAACAGCCTGGCTTGATCACCACAGTTTAGAGCAGGACATAAACACACCATTTTCACCTTACTCATGTCTGACTTGTTTCCATAGTCAGGAAAGGAGGGATCTGGCATGTTTTTCCCTCATATAGATGGAGTGCTCTTCCTAAAACTGACAAGGAAATATCTGGCAGGTACCACCTAACAGCATCAACAGTTCACCACTTCCACTCCTACTACATACATTTACTGATGTTCAAAGAAGTCCACGACAGCTGCATGAGCCCCGGAGTAAGGGCATCTTCAACTTGTCCTATGAACGGTTTCATCAGTGGTTTCAGCATAACAGGAATCCCATTCACACGCTCTTTGTAATTGATCAACAGATTGTGGAGTCTGAAAGACAAGATCATGTTTATAACATGCTTAATTCAGATACTTGAAACATACAGAAGTTTAGACACATTTTCTGTTAAAAAGATTTGCAAGTTCTGACCCCATGTTAAAAGTAAGAACTCTTCCTAGCTCAAACTGAGCCTCTTTCTCACCATTAATAGCAGAACCAGACTGAGGAAATAAGCACCTCCAGTAAAGTAACTGTGATCAATTTAGAGAAACTTTCTTCCAAGAAAAATTAATTACAATTAACAAACTAGGAAACTGAAAACACAGCATTTTGTTCCCTTCTTCCTCTCTCACAAGACACAGCATGGAATGACACTGCTTATAAGAAAAGCTAGATCCAAACCACTTAGGACATCAAATCCCAAAGAAAAAGAGGCCAAATTCTGAATCAAGACTTAGCAATATATTTCCATGAAAATGGAGCTACACAATGAACCTGCATAAACAAGAAGTAGAAGCAAATGCAACTCAGAAGTCAGATACATAATGGGTTCATTACAAGAACCGCTGCAAAAAAAAGTGATAGCTGTGTTCTGTGCCAGATTAAAAACATGACTTTAAACATCATTGTTACAAACCATATCCTGAGATAAACCATTCCCAATATACCCAGAACTGTTTTTCCAGTGTTGTTGAAGTAAAAATCTAGTCTATGAATATTCCTTCTTTGCCTGGGGAGTCAGTCTGAAGTCTTTTTTAGAGTAGAAAGTAAGTTTGGATTTCTTTTTTATTGAAAACATTTTTTGTACATTTTTGTTTCTCTTGGATGGCAAAAGTTGGTGTTGTTGCTTTTTAGAGGAGTGTCGCACACAGAATTTGCCTTGCACATTAAAATTTTAGGTTAGTTTGACCTAAAACACTCCACAGATAATTAATGAAAAATGTTGTGTTATAAGAGTGAAAGACTGAAAGCTTTAACAAGAGAAAAAGGGAGGAGGGGTTGAATTCAAATGTTTATGAAATTCATTGAACTTTGTCCCTTTTTGTCCACTTCTATTTAAAAACTATCTAAAGAACACTCCTCACAAAGGATGACTTTTTTAAGACCTATCATCCTTACTTAGAGAGTTAGCGAATTAATAATCAGCATCCCTGAGAAGGAAAAGAACTCTTCCAGCACAGAATGGGATTGTTACAAGAAGCAGAAAGTATTTAAAATCAACAAAAGATATTTCAAATATTCAACATGAGAGAGAATATTATAATTTAGGTGATGTATTACCCACACAAATATTTAGGTTGTGCCTTAATCAACTGGTACATTTCAGCTTGTTTTTCTAACAGAAAAAAGCTCTTGATGTGAACTGTAAAATTTTGGAGTGTAATCCCTATGTTATAGTACATAGATGCTTTAGCAGTTCTGAGGAGCTCCTCTTACAGAGCAGCTGTTGCAGTAACAAAACAAAAGCACGCAGGCATTTTCTAGTAATGAGATATTTGTGGAGACAGGAACAACTGCATGTTACCTATACTACTATGGAAATGCAGGGGAAACCAATTAAATTTCAATTAAACTCCAGCAAAGAGAAAAATTATAATAAATCAAAAGCATATGCAACAGACTCAAAGCTAAGGATTCCCCTTTGCAGATGAGAATCAAATCAAAAAAATGTTCACTCACTCCATTTGATGTCTTTTAATCTGTTCTTCATCTGCACACAAGCCAAGGACAACATCTGGAACTTCAAAATGCATTTTTTTCAGGTATTTTGTTTCATAAAGTACTTCTAGGACCACTGGGTCCAAGTTTACAAGTAACTCCTTCATGTAGCAGTACAAGGGAGGGAAGAAACAGAAAATAAGGCAGTAGTTTGGTGGTTACACGTAGTGTGATATAACTGGAACATATAACAAAATGTAGATGATTAGGGAAGACTTTTTTAAATGGCTGCCCATGTTTCTACACAGCTCTTCCTCCTCCTCTACAAATATCTGGATTTTCCAAAGTATTAATCAACCAATATCTTACACTGATTTCAATTCCTTGTAACTCCTTCACTGAGCCCTAACCACCTGGCTTTTGTGACTTCTTAAGTTTAATTCTAGTTCTGCAGCTACACTCTGTGGAAGCTAATTTGCCTTTCATCTCAGCTTCTCCACTGGTAGACTAGGGAGAAATGTTGTCAAGGTTAATCTCTGTACACTTTTCAGGGCACTAAATGCTATTAAGATGCTAAATAATCTTGAAAACTAGGTTCTGGTTGTCTATTATGGAACCATTAGTTCAAAAAATGCAACATTTTAACCATAATTTCTCTGCACTATGGCAGAAAAAAAAAAAAAAAATCTGTGAAGTAAGAGTGGTAAGATTTTCTGTCTCAGCAAGCAGTTTTGAAAGCAAATTAATGAATGATTGCAATATACTCCCACAGTGATATATACTAACACAATATACTAACACTATACTAT